TAAACTACTCTCCAAACATGTATAATCTGCAAAAAGAATTGAGAGAAGAGTATGAAAGAGCTACAACACAGGAGGAGCTTTTAAGGGCGCAAAACACAGGAGCAATTTGGATGACACAGGGAGACCGTAATTCCAGGTTATTCCATGCGGCGCATAAGCCTAAGCAACACAGAAGAAAAATTTCAAGACTTCCAGCCCCTCTCTTTTTTTTACCATAAAAATCCGAACTAAAGAATTTGTAACTAGTAGGGGGCATTAGTTCTTGAGAGGTTGGAAGAAAACTCTCTTAGTAAAGCCCCCTTTTGCCTCATCCGATCCCCCCGAAAAGAGGGTGAAGTAGCGGCTCCCTCCTATTACTGGGGTGGCGTCGAAGCTATGACACCAAAAAGTAAAAGAGATTCCAGCTTATTCGGAAACTTCCCCTGGATGATTAACTTCCTCAAACCTGTTAGTTACTCTTGTCATGATTACTACTAATCAAGTCTCTGATTGTGCGGACAAAATCATCATTACCAACCGGTATTGTCTTCCAAATTCAGTTTAGGCGGCTTTATGCCTATAATGACTGGTAAGCGTTAATCAACCTATCGTATCGATGATTACTTTTGTTTTTGGCTTGTCTCTTCCCATTGCCCTTCGAAAAGGTAAAGGTCTTTGATCTTTCAAAGTTCTAAGTCAATGTGTCTGTACTCGGAGGAGACTGTGTAACGAGCGGAGGCTCGAATGCTTTCATGGTTGGAAGGGAAGGCTAGCACACATCGTTTCTCTAAGAAGAAGTTAGTTTCACGACGAGTCTAGCTCGGAGTGACCCTGACGCGTTAGAGCGAACTGGGAAACCTTTGTCTATAGTCTCATAAACTAGTAAAGCCGCATTCCCTCTTCAGTTATCGTGAAATTTATCTAGGCTCTTCTTTCCCCTAGCCCATGGAGGACTAGGGCCTCATCGGCCTATAGACCTACAGTGGATTATTCCCTCTGTTCTAGGCCACTTCCCTACCCTTTACTTCGTAATCTTAGCCTTAGATGTCCTTTTATAGATTATCGAACCTCCAACAGACAGAATCTCCATGTATGCCTTCTTTCTCTCCTCCCCTTTCTAATACCTAAAAAAAGGTTCTGCCTATGGAGCCTAAATGATGAGAATCATGTAGCCTTCCATGGAGGTTCTCCTAGTGAGGGGAATGAGCTAGTCCTTCATTCTAGTTTTGGAATGCCAAGTTTACTTTGCAGGCCAATCAAGGAAGAAAGGATGGATCTTGACTACCTATGTGATAGGGAGTTGGTTCAAAAGAGCTATGATCAAGGTGATGAGAATGTCATTAACTTAAGGGGCGCAAGACAAATATTCCACTTTGGAAGGGCGTTCAAGACATTTTACTTCAATAATTTGGAGCTGGATTTCGAGATTAGAGTTAATCTAAGTCTAGGAGTCAATTTTCGAATTTTTATCTAGTTAAATACGTCATGTGGACTGAATTAAACTAGAGTGTTTTGATTAGGAGTCTTAGATTCCTTCTAGATATTATCCTACTTGAGGATAAGTCATTTAGATAAGGTTTCCTAGATTTTAGATAGAGTCAAAGAGATCAAGTACTCTTCTACTTTTACTCCTTGTGAGATAAGATTAGAGAGTACTAATTGGTCTTCTTTTTAGTGGTGCTGGCTGAAAATTCTAAGCCTATAAATAGGGGGCTTGGCCGAATTTCTTAAGCACCCTTGAGTGGTCATTTTTGTTGTCTCTTTTGAGAGTTTTTCCTGTGAGGAATTTTTGTTAAATGGAGTGTCCATTTTTCGTGTCAAGTATGATTAAAACCAAGAGGGTTTTCATCTTGTCTTGGATCTTTTTGATCTTGCAGAAACTGTTCTTTTTCAAGTATGCTTCTTGATAGAATTGTTTTAAAACAAAACTTCTTATTTTCATACTACTTCTAGTAGTTCGATTGATGAGCCTTTCCTTTGGCTTGGTGTTCGAATTTCATGATGGGTGTGTTCATGAGATCCATTGTGGGGTTTGTCCTACTTTTGTTGGATGACTTGTGCTTTGGCATAAGCATTTTGAGATAGTGTATGTGTTGCATATCTTTGGTTGGTTATGAAGATTACTAATCAATAGTATTCCTTCATAGTTGGGCATTGTTTGCTCCTACCTTTCTTGAGTCTCTTGATAGATGACTGATCGAGTATATTGAATGGTGTCTTTGCTATTCTTAGCGTGGGTTGTTGTTTAATTCGAATCTTTCATGGATAATGTGTTCTTTGCTTGGTTTGAGTTAAGAGATAGAATCACTTAGATAAACGATCGTCTTACTGTGAATTTTTCGCACTCTTTTGAGTTTCACGGGATAGACACAATTATCTTCGTACTTTCTTGTTGATGGTTGCATTAACGAAATTTGCTTCGTCTACGAGATTGCTATCAGTTTCTTGGTATCAGAGCTTGGATTATCTTAGTGATGGTATTAATTGATATTATCATATCAATTCCTATTATCAGTTTGATTTTCGAGAGATTTCTTCTTAGTTGAGGACTTCATAGTTCTTGGTTTTGAGAATATCTTGAATTACCACGGAATCCGTTACTTGGTGTGGTGATTGAGCTTTGTGCTACTTAACGAGTAGTACTATCTTTATTTGTTTCAAGGTTCCTTCTTGTTTTGGAATGGGGTGTTGAAAAAATAAATCAAATTCATGTGAAAACTACGTTTTCAAAATTGATCTTGTCTTTTGTGTGGTTGTGCGTGACTTCTTACACATTTGTTTGATCTTGTGGTATTATTTTGAGGTCTATGCGAGAACTTGATGATGGTACGTTAGTATCTAATCAAAGTGGGCGCTACATCTTGAAATTTATCCTTGATTTGCAAGTAGAGAACTGTTTCTCCTATGAGCAAGTTAGTGGATCTTATGTGTTGGATCTTTAAGGAGAGAATTGATGCCAAAGAAGAGCTTCTTGCTCGAGATAGCCTTTTCTTTCTAAAGAGATGTCTTTACATAAGGAGGATTTGAGAGTTTATCTTGTGGTAAATATCTTGGATCTATTCTTTGAAAGGTGAAGCTTGGTGATTTTGTACTTTTTACATAAAGTATAAATGAAAAAGCCTTCCTTCTTGTTGGTTTCACTTGAATCTAATGAGTAAAATGGAATTTATGGATTTTCAATTCATGAAAACTTCATAGAGACCGAATTTTTTTGATTATCTTGTTTAATCTTAGTGTCAAAAGATTTTTCAAAAGTAACAAATGTTGGTTTTCTTGTTTTCTCGAGTTTTACACTTTGAGATTGAGTCAAAAACTTTCTTTGTCATGTGATGAGGAATGAATTTTTAGTGATATCAGTTTTTGGTATCAAAGTGTTTTAAGGTCTTTGAAGTTGAATTGTGCCAACTTTCAGGATTGAAGTCTTTGACTTGTGTTTTAAAACCTTGATTTTTGAAAGAAGGATCGAAAATTGAGTGAAGTTTTACTAAAAAGATTTTCTTAATTTATGACAAGAAATCTTATAGGCTTTGAGATGTATTCTTAAAGTTTACATATTTGGTTGTTGGAAAAGTTGATTTTCAATGGTCACTTATGAAGATGGCATTGTTAAGTCATTGAGTTTTCAGAATGATTTGTGTTAAATTTAGTAATATGAAGTAAATGTCATAATTGAATAAGGAACTTTAATTTCCTACTTCATTATAATTATGGTGTTCTTGTTACTTTATTTGCCATGGATTGTTTTGGTAAAAAGTGATTTTTGTTAATTCCAAGTACAATTTGGAAAAGGGTTTTTAGAAAGATTCTAAAAGTTGTTGTCCATTTTTGGAAAGTGGTAATTTTCAAGTTTCCTTTTTAAGTAAGTCAAAAGTAATTTTTCAAATTTTAACTATGTGGTAAAAGGTTAATAGCCGAAATTTTGCTGACTTTTTGCATGTGTGTGCGTGTGATTTATGTGGTATTCTAAGCCTAGTTGGTTTTGAATTTTAGAGTCATAGTATAGCCGAAATTGTGAAGCTAAAAATTAGGGTTTCCTAGTCCTAGTTGAACTTGAATTTTGGTTGTCTATTTGTGTTACACTTGGAGACCTATTTGGTCTTGTATTTGTGTGTTCACATGGCCGAAAATTTTAGCCCTAAAATTAAAGTCATTGAGTCCAAATTGTGTTATGATTTGAGTCCTATTTGGTTTTGGATTTTCGTGTTCACATTGGCCGAAAATTTGCAGCCATTGTTTCCTAATTGTAATACAATTTTATTGTGTGTTTTATTTAAGTCCTACTTGAATTTAAATACTAATTTTTTCATGTGTTAAATTATAATTTCAGTGAGATTATAATTAGAGTTTTAAAGTGAGTCTATTTTCAAAAACTATTAAGATAAGTCTTATCCTAATCTGAAAATTTTTGAGTCTTCTAATACAATTGCATGTGTGTGCCGTGTATTTGAGTCCTTTTAGTAGTAGGGGGCTCGAAAATTTTATCTCTAATAAGTAGGGATGAGTTTTCCTAATTTGTGTCCAAAAAGGATTATGTTTACCTAAGTTTTAGGACTCTATCCTTGTCTATATATATGAGGCCGGTTTTTCTTCTTCTTTATTCCATACTGTCGAGCAGTCTTCATCATTAAAAAGGGGGGAATATTTTTGAGAAAATTTAGGTCCTATCTTGTAGGAGTTTTCTTGAACAAAAAGACTTGCATTACCTATAACTAGGGGTGCTGTTTTTTGAAAATTCTCACATCACTCTACTCCAATTTTCTTCTTCTTTCTTGCTGCCGAGATCAAAAGAGAAAAGAACAAGAGAAACACTCTTCTCTTTAATTCTGAAATTTTGAGAGTTGTGTTCTTAAAAGCACAAGAGAGTTTTTTTTTTTTGGGAGAGCTTTATTCGAACCTTCCTTTGGTTCTTTGAGGGGTTTCAGCCGAACCAAACTTTGGTTCTAGAGTTCAAGGAGTTTTTGTGTAGTAAACGAGGCACATTACTTCTTTTGTTGGTGGTTCCTCAGAGTTGTTGAGCAAAGATGTCATCCGGAGTTGCTGGTTGTACTCAAATCGCTTCAAAGAGTGTAGAGGGTCGCATGGAGGCTCAAGTACAGCTCATGAAGAGTCAAATTGACTTCCTACATGATTCTTTGGCCGAGGTTAAGGAGGCAAACCGAGACTTGTCTCAATTGCTTTCAAATCAGCAAGATAAAGCTATGGTTAAGAGTCTTATGTGATCGTTTTGAAGTTAAACAAGTACCCTCGTATGCTGGAATGTTGCAAGTGTCATTGCCTTTGTTTTATGGTTGTCATAGAGAATATGATACTTGGGAAAAGAGCATAGAGAATTTGTTTGTGTTGCTTAACATAGAGAAAGAGAGTGAGAAAATAGCCTTAGCTATAGGTTGTTTTCGTTCTAATGCTTTGAATTGGTAGAAGCTAGTTTCAAATATCTTTTCGCATTATTGGTATCGTAATTTGGATGATTGGCGTGATTTGAGAAGTGCTTTGCGAGAAAGATATGCTGGTACTAACACCTTTGATGAAGCAAAAGTGAAGTTGCTCAATTGTAAGCAGAATGGTAGATCCATTCAATCTTACTTTGAGGAATTAGAAGGGTTGTTTCTGAGTTCAGAAGTGAATGAGAACGACTACATGTTGACAGACCGTTTCCACTATGGCTTGGACAAGTGGTTCAAACAACACCCAAAGATAAGGAGACAATCAAGGCTCTATGAGGCATACTATGCTGCCTTAGAAGTGGAAAGAGAGCTTGATACTTCTTGTGGTTGGAATGGTCCAATTGAGGATCAGGTGTTGGTGTTTGGCGCTGAAGATGGAGATCAACGGACTTGTATCTTCCGTACTAAGTGTTCGGTTGGGTGGTCCAATGAAGTTGATTTGGTAATCGACGGTGGGTCGAGTACTGATTGCGTAAGTGAGGAATTTTGCATAGCAAGCGGAATTAAGATGGATCCGCATACTAGACCATACAAGCTTCAATGATTGAGTGAAGAGATGGTTGTGGATGTTACTAAAAAGGCCATGGTACCTTTTCAGATTGGTGAGTATAGGGATGAAATTTACTTTGATGTAATTCCTATGTCTCTTTGTGATATTTTGCTAGGTAGGCCTTGGCAGTCAGATGTAGATGCTGTGCACCATTGCTCGAAGAATATCTTTGTCTTTACTAAAGAGGACAGAAAATACATTCTTAAGCCTTTGGCTTATGAAGAATCTAAATCTGTGCGAGAGAAAAGACGTAGGATAACCTATACACAAGGGAGAAAAAAAGTCGAGAGAGTGACGCAAGAAAGTAAAAAGGGTCACAATGAGGTATAGAGGCTGATGATTTGAGGACGAATCCTCTTAAAGAAGGAGGGGATGATGAGAATCATGTAGCCTTCCATGGAGGTTCTCCTAGTGAGGGGAATGAGCTAGTCCTTCATTCTAGTTTTGGAATGCCAAGTTTACTTTGCAGGCCAATCAAGGAAGAAAGGATGGATCTTGACTACCTATGTGATAGGGAGTTGGTTCAAAAGAGCTATGATCAAGGTGATGAGAATGTCATTAACTTTGGGGTTCAAACCAAAGGAGATGAAGACCTCATAGAAATAAGTGCTGAAGAGTATCAAGATAGTTTGACTCTGTGTGCTCCATGAAGATCATTGATCAAGCTAGTGAGAAGAGTCATTTAGGTTCTTGAATGGACGGCCTATTTGATCAAAGTGTTCAAGATTGAGTCCATTGCTACACAATTGGATAGGTTGCAAACTATCTTAATTGTTTCAAGTGTTTTTCCAATCTTTTGGAGTCAATAAAGAGAATTCTACAAGTTTTGGAGTAAATTGGAGTTTTCTACAACTTAAGGGGCGCAAGACAAATATTCCACTTTGGAAGGGCGTTCAAGACATTTTACTTCAATAATTTGGAGCTGGATTTCGAGATTAGAGTTAATCTAAGTCTAGGAGTCAATTTTCGAATTTTTATCTAGTTAAATAAGTCATGTGGACTGAATTAAACTAGAGTGTTTTGATTAGGAGTCTTAGATTCCTTCTAGATATTATCATACTTGAGGATAAATCATTTAGATAAGGTTTCCTAGATTTTAGATAGAGTCAAAGAGATCAAGTACTCTTCTACTTTTACTCCTTGTGAGATGAGATTAGAGAGTCCTAATTGGTCTTCTTTTTAGTGGTGCTGGCCGAAAATTCTAAGCCTATAAATAGGGGGCTTGGCCGAATTTCTTAAGCACCCTTGAGTGGTCATTTTTGTTGTCTCTTTTGAGAGTTTTTTCTGTGAGGAATTTTTGTTAAATGGAGTGTCCATTTTTCGTGTCAAGTATGATTAAAACAAAGAGGGTTTTCATCTTGTCTTGGATCTTTTTGATCTTGCAGAAACCGTTCTTTTTCAAGTATGCTTCTTGATAGAATTGTTTTAAAACAAAACTTCTTATTTTCATACTACTTCTAGTAGTTCGATTGATGAGCCTTTCCTTTGGCTTGGTGTTCGAATTTCATGATGAGTGTGTTCATGAGATCCATTGTGGGGTTTGTCCTACTTTTGTTGGATGAGTTGTGCTTTGGCATAAGCATTTTGAGATAGTGTATGTGTTGCATATCTTTGGTTGGTTATGAAGATTACTAATCAATAGTATTCCTTCATAGTTGGGCATTGTTTGCTCCTACCTTTCTTGAGTCTCTTGAGTTTGACTCTGTGTGCTCCATGAAGATCATTGATCAAGCTAGTGAGAAGAGTCATTTAGGTTCTTGAGTGGACGGCCTATTTGATCAAAGTATTCAAGATTGAGTCCATTGCTACACAATTGGATAGGTTGCAAACTATCTTAATTGTTTCAAGTGTTTTTCCAATCTTTTGGAGTCAATAAAGAGAATTCTACAAGTTTTGGAGTAAATTGGAGTTATCTACAACTTAAGGGGCGCAAGACCAATATTCCACTTTTGGAAGGGCGTTCAAGACATTTTACTTCAATAATTTGGAGCTGAATTTCGAGATTAGAGTCATTGTCTAAGTCTAGGAATTATTTTCGAATTTTTATCTAGTTAAATAAGTCATGTGGACTGAATTAAACTAGAGTGTTTTGATTAGGAGTCTTAGATTCCTTCTAGATATTATCCTACTTGAGGATAAGTCATTTAGATAAGGTTTCCTAGATTTTAGATAGAGTCAAAGAGATCAAGTACTCTTCTACTTTTACTCCTTGGGAGATAAGATTAGAGAGTCCTAATTGGTCTTCTTTTTAGTGGTGCTGGCCGAAAATTCAAGCCTATATATAGGAGGTTTGGCCGAAATTTAGAAGCACCCTTGAGTGGTCATTTTTGTTGTCTCTTGTGAGAGTTTTTCCTGTGAGGAATTTTTGTTAAATGGAGTGTCCATTTTTCGTGTCAAGTATGATTAAACCAAGAGGGTTTTCATCTTGTCTTGGATCTTTTTGATCTTGCAGAAACCGTTCTTCTTCAAGTATGCTTCTTGATAGAATTGTTTTAAAACTAAACTTCTTATTTTCATACTACTTCTAGTAGTTCGATTGATGAGCCTTTCCTTTGGCTTGGTGTTCGAATTTCATGATGAGTGTGTTCATGAGATCCATTGTGGGGTTTGTCCTACTTTTGTTGGATGAGTTGTGCTTTGGCATAAGCATTTTGAGATAGTGTATGTGTTGCATATCTTTGGTTGGTTATGAAGATTACTAATCAATAGTATTCCTTTATAGTTGGGCATTGTTTGCTCCTACCCTTTCTTGAGTCTCTTGATAGATGACTAATCGAGTATATTGAATGGTGTCCTTGCTCTTCTTAGCGTGGGTTGTTGTTTAATTCGAATCTTTCATGGATAATGTGTTCTTTGCTTGGTTTGAGTTAAGAGATAGAATCACTTAGATAAACGATCGTCTTACTGTGAATTTTCTGCACTCTTTTGAGTTTCACGGGATAGACAAAATTATCTTCGTACTTTCTTGTTGATGGTTGCATTAACGAAATTTGTTTCGTCTACGAGATTGCTATCAGTTTCTTGGTATGAGAGCTTGGATTATCTTAGTGATGGTATTATTTGATATTATCACATCAATTCCTATTATCAGTTTGATTTTCGAGAGATTTCTTCTTAGTTGAGGACTTCATAATTCTTGGTTTTGAGAATATCTTGAATTACCACGGAATCCGTTACTTGGTGTGGTGATCGAGCTTTGTGCTACTTAATGAGTAGTACTATCTTTATTTGTTTCAAGGTTCCTTCTTGTTTTGGAATGGGGTGTTGAAAAAATAAATCAAATTCTTGTGAAAACTACGTTTTCAAAATTGATCTTGTCTTTTGTGTGGTTGTGCGTTACTTCTTACACATTTGTTTGATCTTGTGGTGTTATTTTAAGGTCCATCCGAGAGCTTGATGATGGTACGTTGGTATCTAATCAAAGTGGGGGCTACATCTTGAAATTTATCCTTGATTTGCAAGTAGAGAACTGTTTCTCCTATGAGCAAGTTAGTGGATCTTATGTGTTGGATCTTTAAGGAGAGAATTGATGCCAAAGAAGAGCTTCTTGCTCGAGATAGCCTTTTCTTTCTAAAGAGATGTCTTTACATAAGGAGGATTTGAGAGTTTATCTTGTGGTAAATATCTTGGATCTATTCTTTGAAAGGTGAAGCTTAATGATTTTGTACTTTCTACATAAAGTATAAATGAAAAAGCCTTCCTTCTTGTTGGTTTCATTTGAATCTAATGAGTAAAATGGAATTTATAGATTTTCAATTCATGAAAATTTCATAGAGACCGAATTTTGTTTAATCTTAGTGTCAAAAGATTTTTCAAAAGTAACAAATGTTGGTTTCCTTGTTTTCTCGAGTTTTACACTTTGAGTTTGAGTCAAAAACTTTCTTTGTCAAGTGATGAAGAATGAATTTTAGTGATATCAGTTTTTGGTATCAAAGTGTCTTAGGGTCTTTGAAGTTGAATTGTGCCAACTTTAAGGATTGAAGTCTTTGACTTGTGTTTTAAAACCTTGATTTTCGAGAATAGGATTGAAAATTGAGTGAAGTTTTACTAAAACGATTTTCTTAATTAACGACAAGAAATCTTATAGGCTTTGAGATGTATTCTTAAAGTTTACATATTTGGTTGTTGGAAAAGTTGATTTTCAATGGTCACTTATGAAGATGGCATTGTTAAGTCATTGAGTTTTCAGAATGATTTGTGTTAAATTTAGTATTGTGAAGCAAATGTCATAATTGAATAAGGAACTTTAATTTCCTACTTCATTATAATTATGGTGTTCTTGTTACTTTATTTGCCATGGATTGTTTTGGTAAAAAGTGATTTTTGTTAATTCCAAGTACAATTTGGAAAAGGGTTTTTAGAAAGATTCTAAAAGTTGTTGTCCATTTTTGGAAAGTGGTAATTTTCAAGTTTCCTTTTTAAGTGAGTCAAAAGTAATTTTTCAAATTTTAACTATGTGGTAAAAGGTTAATGGCCGAAATTTTGCTGACTTTTTGCATGTGTGTGCGTGTGATTTATGTGGTATTCTAAGCCTAGTTGGTTTTGAATTTTAGAGTCATAGTATAGCCGAAATTGTGAAGCTAAAAATTAGGGTTTCTTAGTCTTAGTTGAACTTGAATTTTGGTTGTCTATTTGTGTTACACTTGGAGACCTATTTGGTCTTGTATTTGTGTGTTCACATGGCCGAAAATTTTAGCTCTAAATTTAAGGTCATTGAGTCCAAATTGTGTTATGATTTGAGTCCTATTCGGTTTTGGATTTTTATGTTCACATTGGCCGAAAATTTGCAGCCATTGTTTCCTAATTGTAATACAATTTTATTGTGTGTTTTATTTAAGTCCTACTTGGATTTAAATACTAATTTTTGCATGTGTTAAATTATAATTTCAGTGAGATTATAATTAGAGTTTTAAAGTGAGTCTATTTTCGAAAACTATTAAGATAAGGAAGTCTTAACCTAATCTAAAAATTTTTTAGTCTTTGAATACAATTGTGCATGTGTGTGGCCGTGTATTTGAGTCCTTTTAGTATTAGGGGGGTCGAAAATTTTATCTCTAATAAGTAGGGATGAGTTTTCCTAATTTGTGTCCAAAAAGAATTATGTTTACCTAAGTTTTAGGACTCTATCCTTGTCTATATATATGAGGCCGGTTTTTCTTCTTCTTTATTCCACATTGTCGAGCAGCCTTCATCATTTAGGGGGAATATTTTTTAGAAAATTTAGGTCCTATCTTGTAGGAGTTTTCTTGCACAAAAAGACTTGCATTACCTATAACTAGGAGTGCTGTTTTTCGAAAATTCTCACATCACTCTACTCCAATTTTCTTCTTCTTTCTTGCTGCCGAGATCAAAAGAGAAAAGAACAAGAGAAGCACTCTTCTCTTTAATTCTGAAATTTTGAGAGTTGTGTTCTTAAAAGCACAAGAGAGTTTTTGTTTTTGGGGAGAGCTTTATTCGAACCTTCCTTTGGTTCTTGGGGAGGTTTCGGCCGAACCAAACTTGGTTCTAGGGTTCAAGGAGTTTTTGTGTAGTAAACAAGGCACATTACTTCTTTTGTTGGTGGTTTCTCAGAGTTGTTGAGCAAAGATGTCATCCGGTGTTGTTGGTTGTACTCAAATCGCTTCAAAGGGTGCAGAGGGTCGCATGGAGGCTCAAGTACAGCTCATGAAGAGTCAAATTGACTTCCTACATGATGCTTTGGCCGAGGTTAAGGAGGCAAACCGAGACTTGTCTCAATTGCTTTCAAATCAGCAAGATAAAGCTATGGTAAGTTTTGAGAACATTGCTGAAAATTTAAGAGTCTTATGTGATCGTTTTGAAGTTAAACATGTACCCTCGTATGCTGGAATGTTGCAAGTGTCATTGCCTTTGTTTTATGGTTGTTATAGAGAATATGATACTTGGGAAAAGAGCATAGAGAATTTGTTTGTGTTGCTTAACATAGAGAAAGAGAGTGAGAAAATATCCTTAGGTATAGGTTGTTTTCGTTCTAATGCTTTGAATTGGTGGAAACTAGTTTCAAATATCTATTCGCATTATTGGTTTCATAACTTGGATGATTGGAATGATTTGAGAAGTGCTTTGTGAGAAAGATATGCTGGTACTAACACCTTTGATGAAGCAAAAGTGAAGTTGCTCAATTGTAAGCAGAATGGTAGATCCATTCAATCTTACTTTGAGGAATTAGAAGGGTTGTTTCTGAGTTCAGAAGTGGATGAGAATAACTACATGTTGACAGACCGTTTCCACTATGGCTTGGACAAGTGTTTCAAACAACATCCAAAGATAAGGAGACAATCAAGGCTCTATGAGGCATACTATGCTGCCTTAGAAGTGGAAAGAGAGCATGATACTTCTTGTGGTTGGAATGGTCCAATTGAGGATCAGGGGTTGGTGTTTGGAGCTGAAGATGGAGATCAACGGACTTGTATCTTCCGTACTAAGTGTTCGGTTGGGTGGTCCAATGAAGTTGATTTGGTAATCGACGGTGGTTCGAGTACTGATTGTGTAAGTGAGGAATTTTGCATAGCAAACGGAATTAAGATGGATCCGCATACTAGAGCATACAAGCTTCAATGGTTGAGTGAAGAGATGGTTGTGGATGTTACTCAAAAGGCCATGGTACCTTTTCAGATTGGTGAGTATATGGATGAAATTTACTTTGATGTAATTCCTATGTCTCTTTGTGATATTTTGCTAGGTAGGCCTTGGCAGTCAGATGTAGATGCTGTGCACCATTGCTCGAAGAATATCTTTGTCTTTACTAAAGAGGACAGAAAATATATTCTTAAGCCTTTGGCTTATGAAGAATCTGAATCTGTGCGAGAGAAAAGACGTAAGATAACCTATACACAAGGGAGACAAAAAGTCGAGCGAGTGACGCAAGAAAGTAAAAAGGGTCACGATGAGGTAAGACTTGAGGCGAGAGAAAACCATGAAAATAGCGTGGAAATAGAAATAAATGCACGCAATAAGAGAAAATCAGAGTATGGTGAGGGTGAGGATTTTACTAACCCTTATGTTTGTTCCTTGTGCAGGTATAGAGGTTGATGATTCGAGGACGAATCCTCTTAAAGAAGGAGGGGATGATGAGAATCATGTAGCTTTCCATGGAGGTTCTCCTAGTGAGGGGAATGAGCTTGTCCTTCATTCTAGTTTTGGAATGCCAAGTTTACTTTGCAGGCCAATCAAGGAAGAAAGGATGGATCTTAACTACCTATGTGATAGGGAGTTGGTTCAAAAGAGCTATGATCAAGGTGATGAGAATGTCATTAACTTTGGGGTTCAAACCAAAGGAGATGAAGACCTCATGGAAATAAGTGCTGAAGAGTATCAAGAGAGTTTGACTCTGTGTGCTCCATGAAGATCATTGATCAAGCTAGTGAGAAGAGTCATTTAGGTTCTTGAGTGGACGGCCTATTTGATCAAAGTGTTCAAGATTGAGTCCATTGCTACACAATTGGATAGGTTGCAAACTATCTTAATTGTTTCAAGTGTTTTTCCAATCTTTTGGAGTCAATAAAGAGAATTCTACAAGTTTTGGAGTAAATTGGAGTTATCTACAACTTAAGGGGCGCAAGACCAATATTCCACTTTTGGAAGGGCGTTCAAGACATTTTACTTCAATAATTTGGAGCTGAATTTCGAGATTAGAGTCATTGTCTAAGTCTAGGAATTATTTTTAAATTTTTATCTAGTTAAATAAGTCATGTGGACTGAATTAAATTAGAGTGTTTTGATTAGGAGTCTTAGATTCCTTCTAGATATTATCCTACTTGAGGATAAGTCATTTAGATAAGGTTTCCTAGATTTTAGATAGAGTCAAAGAGATCAAGTACTCTTCTACTTTTACTCCTTGGGAGATAAGATTAGAGAGTCCTAATTGGTCTTCTTTTTAGTGGTGCTGGCCGAAAATTCAAGCCTATATATAGGAGGCTTGGCAGAATTTTAGAAGCACCCTTGAGTGGTCATTTTTGTTGTCTCTTTTGAGAGTTTTTCCTGTGAGGAATTTTTGTTAAATGGAGTGTCCATTTTTCGTGTCAAGTATGATTAAACCAAGAGGGTTTTCATCTTGTCTTGGATCTTTTGATCTTGCAGAAACCGTTCTTTTTCAAGTATGCTTCTTGATAGAATTGTTTTAAAACTAAACTTCTTATTTTCATACTACTTCTAGTAGTTCGATTGATGAGCCTTTCCTTTGGCTTGGTGTTCGAATTTCATGATGAGTGTGTTCATGAGATCCATTGTGGGGTTTGTCCTACTTTTGTTGGATGAGTTGTGCTTTGGCATAAGCATTTTGAGATAGTGTATGTGTTGTATATCTTTGGTTGGTTATGAAAATTACTAATCAATAGTATTCCTTTATAGTTGGGCATTGTTTTCTCCTACCCTTTCTTGAGTCTCTTGATAGATGACTGATCGAGTATATTGAAGGGTGTCCTTGCTATTCTTAGCGTGGGTTGTTGTTTAATTCGAATCTTTCATGGATAATGTGTTCTTTGCTTGGTTTGAGTTAAGAGATAGAATCACTTAGATAAACGATCGTCTTACTGTGAATTTTCTGCACTCTTTTGAGTTTCACGGGATAGACAAAATTATCTTCGTACTTTCTTGTTGATGGTTGCATTAACGAAATTTGTTTCGTCTACGAGATTGCTATCAGTTTCTTGGTATGAGAGCTTGGATTATCTTAGTGATGGTATTAATTGATATTCTCATATCAATTCCTATTATTAGTTTGATTTTCGAGAGATTTCTTCTTAGTTGAGGACTTCATAGTTCTTGGTTTTGAGAATATCTTGAATTACCACGGAATCCGTTACTTGGTGTGGTGATCGAGCTTTGTGCTACTTAACGAGTAGTACTATCTTTATTTGTTTCAAGGTTCCTTCTTGTTTTGGAATGGGGTGTTGAAAAAATAAATCAAATTCTTGTGAAAACTACGTTTTCAAAATTGATCTTGTCTTTTGTGTGGTTGTGCGTTACTTCTTACACATTTGTTTGATCTTGTGGTGTTATTTTAAGGTCTATGCGAGAGCTTGATGATGGTACGTTGGTATCTAATCAAAGTGGGGGCTACATCTTGAAATTTATCCTTGATTTGCAAGTAGAGAACTGTTTCTCCTATGAGCAAGTTAGTGGATCTTATGTGTTGGATCTTTAAGGAAAGAATTGATGCCAAAGAAGAGCTTCTTGCTCAAGATAGCCTTTTCTTTCTAAAAAGATGTCTTTACATAAGGAGGATTTGAGAGTTTATCTTGTGGTAAATATCTTGGATCTATTCTTTGAAAGGTGAAGCTTAATGATTTTGTACTTTCTACATAAAGTATAAATGAAAAAGCCTTCCTTCTTGTTGGTTTCATTTGAATCTAATGAGTAAAATGGAATTTATAGATTTTCAATTCATGAAAATTTCATAGAGACCGAATTTTGTTTAATCTTAGTGTCAAAAGATTTTTCAAAAGTAACAAATGTTGGTTTCCTTGTTTTCTCGAGTTTTACACTTTGAGTTTGAGTCAAAAACTTTCTTTGTCACGTGATGAAGAATGAATTTTAGTGATATCAGTTTTTGGTATCAAAGTGTCTTAAGGTCTTTGAAGTTGAATTGTGCCAACTTTAAGGATTGAAGTCTTTGACTTGTGTTTTAAAACCTTGATTTTCGAGAATAGGATTGAAAATTGAGTGAAGTTTTACTAAAAAGATTTTCTTAATTAACGACAAGAAATCTTATAGGCTTTGAGATGTATTCTTAAAGTTTACATATTTGGTTGTTGGAAAAGTTGATTTTCAATGGTCACTTATGAAGATGGCATTGTTAAGTCATTGAGTTTTCAGAATGATTTGTGTTAAATTTAGTATTATGAAGCAAATGTCATAATTGAATAAGGAACTTTAATTTCCTACTTCATTATAATTATGATGTTCTTGTTACTTTATTTGCCATGGATTGTTTTGGTAAAAAGTGATTTTTGTTAATTCCAAGTACAATTTGGAAAAGGGTTTTTAGAAAGATTCTAAAAGTTGTTGTCCATTTTTGGAAAGTGGTAATTTTCAAGTTTCCTTTTTAAGTGAGTCAAAAGTAATTTTTCAAATTTTACCTATGTGGTAAAAGATTAATGGCCGAAATTTTGGTGACTTTTTGCATGTGTGTGCGTGTGATTTATGTGGTATTCTAAGCCTAGTTGCTTTTGAATTTTAGAGTCATAGTATAGCCAAAATTGTGAAGCTAAAAATTAGGGTTTCTTAGTCCTAGTTGAACTTGAATTTTGGTTGTCTATTTGTGTTACACTTGGAGACCTATTTGGTCTTGTATTTGTGTGTTCACATGGCCGAAAATTTTAGCTCTAAAATTAAGGTCATTGAGTCCAAATTGTGTTATGATTTGAGTCCTATTCGGTTTTGGATTTTTGTGTTCACATTGGCCGAAAATTTGCAGCCATTGTTTCCGAATTGTAATAAAATGTTATTGTGTGTTTTATTTATGTCCTACTTGGATTTAAATACTAATTTTTGCATGTGTTAAATTATAATTTCAGTGAGATTATAATTAGAGTTTTAAAATGAGTCTATTTTCAAAAATTATTAAGATAAGGAAGTCTTATCCTAATCTGAAAATTTTTTAGTCTTCGAATACAATTGTGCATGTGTGTGGCCGTGTATTTGAGTCCTTTTAGTAGTAGGGGGGTCGAAAATTTTATCTCTAATAAGTAGGGGTGAGTTTTCCTAATTTGTGTCCAAAAAAGATTATGTTTACCTAAGTTTTAGGACTCTATCCTTGTCTATATATATGAGGCCGGTTTTTCTTCTTCTTTATTCCACATTGTCGAGCAGCCTTCATCATTTAGGGGGAATATTTTTTAGAAAATTTAGTTCCTATCTTGTAGGAGTTTACTTGCACAAAAAGACTTGCATTACCTATAACTAGGAGTGCTGTTTTTCGAAAATTCTCACATCACTCTACTCCAATTTTCTTCTTCTTTCTTGCTGCCGAGATCAAAAGAGAAAAGAACAAGAGAAGCACTCTTCTCTTTAATTCTGAAATTTTGAGAGTTGTGTTCTTAAAAGCACAAGAGAGTTTTTGTTTTTGGGGAGAGCTTTATTCGAACCTTCCTTTGGTTCTTGGGGAGGTTTCGGCCGAACCAAACTTGGTTTTAGGGTTCAAGGAGTTTTTGTGTAGTAAACAAGGCACATTACTTCTTTTGTTGGTGGTTTCTCAGAGTTGTTGAGCAAAGATGTCATCCGGTGTTGTTGGTTGTACTCAAATCGCTTCAAAGGGTGCAGAGGGTCGCATGGAGGCTCAAGTACAGCTCATGAAGAGTCAAATTGACTTCCTACATGATGCTTTGGCCGAGGTTAAGGAGGCAAACCGAGACTTGTCTCAATTGCTTTCAAATCAGCAAGATAAAGCTATGGTAAGTTTTGAGAACATTGCTAAAAATTTAAGAGTCTTATGTGATCGTTTTGAAGTTAAACAAGTACCCTCGTATGCTGGAATGTTGCAAGTGTCATTGCCTTTGTTTTATGGTTGTTATAGAGAATATGATACTTGGGAAAAGAGCATAGAGAATTTGTTTGTGTTGCTTAACATAGAGAAAGAGAGTGAGAAAATAGCCTTAGCTATAGGTTGTTTTCGTTCTAATGCTTTGAATTGGTGGAAACTAGTTTCAAATATCTATTCGCATTATTGGTTTCATAACTTGGATGATTGGAATGATTTGAGAAGTGCTTTGTGAGAAAGATATGCTGGTACTAACACCTTTGATGAAGCAAAAGTGAAGTTGCTCAATTGTAAGCAGAATGGTAGATCCATTCAATCTTACTTTGAGGAATTAGAAGGGTTGTTTCTGAGTTCAGAAGTGGATGAGAATAACTACATGTTGACAGACCGTTTCCACTATGGCTTGGACAAGTGTTTCAAACAACATCCAAAGATAAGGAGACAATCAAGGCTCTATGAGGCATACTATGCTGCCTTAGAAGTGGAAAGAGAGCATGATACTTCTTGTGGTTGGAATGGTCCAATTAAGGATCAGGGGTTGGTGTTTGGAGCTGAAGATGGAGATCAACGGACTTGTATCTTCCGTACTAAGTGTTCGGTTGGGTGGTCCAATGAAGTTGATTTTGTAATCGACGGTGGGTCGAGTACTGATTGTGTAAGGAATTTTGCATAGCAAACGGAATTAAGATGGATCCGCATACTAGAGCATACAAGCTTCAATGGTTGAGTGAAGAGATGGTTGTGGATGTTACTCAAAAGGCCATGGTACCTTTTCAGATTGGTGAGTATATGGATGAAATTTACTTTGATGTAATTCCTATGTCTCTTTGTGATATTTTGCTAGGTAGGCCTTGGCAGTCAGATGTAGATGCTGTGCACCATTGCTCGAAGAATATCTTTGTCTTTACTAAAGAGGACAGAAAATATATTCTTAAGCCTTTGGCTTATGAAGAATCTGAATCTGTGCGAGAGAAAAGACGTAAGATAACCTATACACAAGGGAGACAAAAAGTCGAGCGAGTGACGCAAGAAAGTAAAAAGGGTCACGATGAGGTAAGACTTGAGGCGAGAGAAAACCATGAAAATAGCGTGGAAATAGAAATAAATGCACGCAATGAGAGAAAATCAGAGTATGGTGAGGGTGAGGATTTTACTAACCCTTATATCTCGTTTGTTCCTTGTGCAGGTATAGAGGTTGATGATTCGAGGACGAATCCTCTTAAAGAAGGAGGGGATGATGAGAATCATGTAGCCTTCCATGGAGATTCTCCTAGTGAGGGGAATGAGCTTGTCCTTCATTCTAGTTTTGGAATGCCAAGTTTACTTTGCAGGCCAATCAAGGAAGAAAGGATGGATCTTGACTACCTATGTGATAGGGAGTTGGTTCAAAAGAGCTATGATCAAGGTGATGAGAATGTCATTAACTTTGGGGTTCAAACCAAAGGAGATGAAGACCTCATGGAAATAAGTGCTGAAGAGTATCAAGAGAGTTTGACTCTGTGTGCTCCATGAAGATCATTGATCAAGCTAGTGAAAAGAGTCATTTAGGTTCTTGAGTGGACGGCCTATTTGATCAAAGTGTTCAAGATTGAGTCCATTGCTACACAATTGGATAGGTTGCAAACTATCTTAATTGTTTCAAGTGTTTTTCCAATCTTTTGGAGTCAATAAAGAGAATTCTACAAGTTATAGAGTAAATTGGAGTTATCTACAACTTAAGGGGCGCAAGACCCATATTCCACTTTTGGAAGGGCGTTCAAGACATTTTACTTCAATAATTTGGAGCTGAATTTCGAGATTAGAGTCATTGTCTAAGTCTAGGAATTATTTTTAAATTTTTATCTAGTTAAATAAGTCATGTGGACTGAATTAAATTAGAGTGTTTTGATTAGGAGTCTTAGATTCCTTCTAGATATTATCCTACTTGAGGATAAGTGATTTAGATAAGGTTTCCTAGATTTTAGATAGAGTCAAAGAGATCAAGTACTCTTCTACTTTTACTCCTTGGGAGATAAGATTAGAGAGTCCTAATTGGTCTTCTTTTTAGTGGTGCTGGCTGAAAATTCAAGCCTATATATAGGAGGCTTCAAGCACCCTTGAGTGGTCATTTTTGTTGTCTCTTTTGAGAGTTTTTCCTGTGAGGAATTTTTGTTAAATGGAGTGTCCATTTTTCGTGTCAAGTATGATTAAACCAAGAGGGTTTTCATCTTGTCTTGGATCTTTTTGATCTTGCAGAAACCGTTCTTTTTCAAGTATGCTTCTTGATAGAATTGTTTTAAAACTAAACTTCTTATTTTCATACTACTTCTAGTAGTTCGATTGATGAGCCTTTCCTTTGGCTTGGTGTTTGAATTTCATGATGAGTGTGTTCATGAGATCCATTGTGGGGTTTGTCCTACTTTTGTTGGATGAGTTGTGCTTTGGCATAAGTATTTTGAGATAGTGTATGTGTTGCATATCTTTGGTTGGTTATGAAGATTACTAATCAATAGTATTCCTTTATAGTTGGACATTGTTTGCTCCTACCCTTTCTTGAGTCTCTTGATAGATGACTGATCGAGTATATTGAATGGTGTCCTTGCTATTCTTAGCGTGGGTTGTTGTTTAATTCGAATCTTTCATGGATAATGTGTTCTTTGCTTGGTTTGAGTTAAGAGATAGAATTACTTAGATAAACGATCGTCTTACTGTGAATTTTTCGCACTCTTTTGAGTTTCACGAGATAGACAAAATTATCTTCGTACTTTCTTGTTGATGGTTGCATTAACGAAATTTGCTTCGTCTACGAGATTGCTATCAGTTTCTTGGCATCAGAGCTTGGATTATCTTAGTGATGGTATTAATTGATATTGTCATATCAATTCCTATTATCAGTTTGATTTTCGAGAGATTTCTTCTTAGTTGGGGACTTTATAGTTCTTGGTTTCGAGAATATCTTGAATTACCACGGAATCTGTTACTTGGTGTGGTGATCGAGCTTTGTGCTACTTAACGAGTAGTACTATCTTTATTTGTTTCAAGGTTCCTTCTTGTTTTGGAATGGGGTGTTGAAAAAAATAAATCAAATTCTTGTGAAAACTACGTTTTCAAAATTGATCTTGTCTTTTGTGTGATTGTGCGAGACTTCTTACACATTTGTTTGATCTTGTGGTGTTATTTTAAGGTCTATGCGAGAGCTTGATGATGGTACGTTAGTATCTAATCAGAGTGGGCGCTACATCTTGAAATTTATCCTTGATTTGCAAGTAGAGAACTGTTTCTCCTATGAGCAAGTTGGTGGATCTTATGTGTTGGATCTTTAAGGAGAGAATTGATGCCAAAGAAGAGCTTCTTGCTCGAGATAGCCTTTTCTTTCTAAAGAGATGTCTTTACATAAGGAGGATTTGAGAGTTTATCTTGTGGTAAATATCTTGGATCTATTCTTTGAAAGGTGAAGCTTAAGGATTTTGTACTTTCTACATAAAGTATAAATGAAAAAGCCTTCCTTCTTGTTGGTTTCATTTGAATCTAATGAGTAAAATGGAATTTATGAATTTTCAATTCATGAAAATTTCATAGAGACCGAATTTTGTTGATTATTTTGTTTAATCTTAGTGTCAAAAGATTTTTCAAAAGTAACAAATGTTCGTTTTCTTGTTTTCTCGAGTTTTACACTTTGAGTTTGAGTCAAAAACTTTCTTTGTCAAGTGATGAAGAATGAATTTTAGTGATATCAGTTTTGGTATCAAAGTGTTTTAAGGTCTTTGAAGTTGAATTGTGCCAACTTTGAGGATTGAAGTCTTTGACTTGTGTTTTAAAACCTTGATTTTCGAGAGTATGGCCGAAAATTGAGTGAAGTTTTTCTAAAAAGATTTTCTTAATGTATGACAAGAAATCTTATAGGTTTTGAGATGTATTCTCAAAGTTTACATATTTAGTTGTTGAAAGATTGATTTTCAATGGTCACTTATGAAGATGGCATTGTTAAGTCATTGAGTTTTTCAGAATGATTTGTGTTGAATTTAGTATTATGAAGCAAATGTCATAATTGAATTATAATTATGGTGTTCTTGTTACTTTATTTGCCATGGATTGTTTTGGTAAAAAGTGAATTTTGTTAATTCCAAGTACAATTTGGAAAAGGGTTTTTAGAAAGATTCTAAAAGTTGTTGTCCATTTTTGGAAAGTGGTAATTTTCAAGTTTCCTTTTTAAGTGAGTCAAAAGTAATTTTTCAAATTTTAACTATTTGGTAAAAGGTTAATAGCCGAAATTTTTGTGACTTTTTGCATGTGTGTGCATGTGATTTATGTGTTATTCTAAGCCTAGTTGGTTTTGAATTTTAGAGTCATAGTATAACCGAAATTGTGAAGCTAAAAGTTAGGTTTTCCTAGTTCTAGTTGAACTTGAATTTTGGTTGTCTATTTGTGTTACATTTGGAGACCTATTTGGTCTTGTATTTGTGTGTTCACATGGCCGAAAATTTTAGCTCTAAAATTAAGGTCATTAAGTCCAAATTGTGTTATGATTTGAGTCCTATTCGGTTTTGGATTTTTGTGTTCACATTGGCCGAAAATTTGCAGCCATTGTTTCCTAATTGTAATACAATTTTATTTTGTGTTTTATTTAAGTCCTACTTGGATTTAAATACTAATTTTTGCATGTGTTAAATTATAATTTCAGTGAGATTATAATTAGAGTTTTAAAGTGAGTCTATTTTCGAAAACTATTAAGATAAGGAAGTATTATCCTAATCTGAAAATTTTTTAGTCTTCTAATACAATTGTGCATGTGTGTGGCCGTGTATTTTAGTCCTTTTAGTAGTAGGGGGGTCGAAAATTTTATCTCTAATAAGTAGGGATGAGTTTTCTTAATTTGTGTCCAAAAAGGATTATGTTTACCTAAGTTTTAGGACTCTATCCTTGTCTATATATATGAGGCCGGGTTTTTCTTCTTCTTTATTCCACATTGTCGAGCAGCCTTCATCAATTAGGGAGGAATATTTTTGAGAAAATTTAGGTCCTATCTTGTAGGAGTTTTCTTGCACAAAAAGACTTGCATTGCCTATAACTAGGAGTGCTGTTTTTCGAAAATTCTCACATCACTCTACTCCAATTTTCTTCTTCTTTCTTGCTGCCGAGATCAAAAGAGAAAAGCAAAAGAAGCACTCTTCTCTTTAATTCTGAAATTTTTGAGAGTTGTGTTCTTAAAAGCACAAAAGAGTTTTTGCTTTTGGGGAGAGCTTTATTTGAACCTTCCTTTGGTTCTTGGGGGAGTTTTGGCCGAACCATACTTTGGTTCTAGGGTTCAAGGAGTTTTTGTGTAGTAAACAAGGCACATTACTTCTTTTGTTGGTGGATTCTCAATATTGTTGAGCAAATATGTCATCCGGAGTTGCTGGTTGTACTCAAATCGCTTCAAAGAGCGTAGAGGGTCGCATGGAGGCTCAAGTACAGCTCATGAAGAGTCAAATTGACTTCCTACATGATGCTTTGGCCGAGGTTAAGGAGGCAAACCGAGACTTTTCTCAATTGCTTTCAAATCAGCAAGATAAAGCTATGGTAAGTTTTGAGAACATTGCTAAAAATTTAAGAGTCTTATGTGATCGTTTTGAAGTTAAACAAGTACCCTCGTATGCTGGAATGTTGCAAGTGTCATTGCCTTTGTTTTATGGTTGTTATAGAGAATATGATACTTGGGAAAAGAGCATAGAGAATTTGTTTGTGTTGCTTAACATAGAGAAAGAGAGTGAGAAAATAGCCTTAGCTATAGGTTTTTTTCGTTCTAATGCTTTGAATTGGTGGAAGCTAGTTTCAAATATCTATTCGCATTATTGGTATCGTAATTTGGATGATTGGAATGATTTGAGAAGTGCTTTGCGAGAAAGATATGCTGGTACTAACACCTTTGATGAAGCAAAAGTGAAGTTGCTCAATTGTAAGCAGAATGGTAGATCCATTTAATCTTACTTTGAGGAATTAGAGGGGTTGTTTCTAAGTTCAGAAGTGGATGAGAACGACTACATGTTGACAGACTGTTTCCACTATGGCTTGGACAAGTGTTTCAAACAACATCCAAAGATAAGGAGACAATCAAGGCTCTATGAGGCATACTATGCTGCCTTAGAAGTGGAAAGAGAGCATGATACTTCTTGTGGTTGGAATGGTCCAATTGAGGATCAGGGGTTGGTGTTTGGAGCTGAAGATGGAGATCAACGGACTTGTATCTTCCGTACTAAGTGTTCGGTTGGGTGGTCCAATGATTTTGTAATCGACGGTAGGTCGAGTACTGATTGTGTAAGTGAGGAATTTTGCATAGCAAACGGAATTAAGATGGATCCGCATACTAGACCATACAAGCTTCAATGGTTGAGTGAGGAGATGGTTGTGGATGTTACTAAAAAGGCCATGGTACCTTTTCAGATTGGTGAGTATAGGGATGAAATTTACTTTGATGTAATTCCTATGTCTCTTTGTGATATTTTGCTAGGTAGGCCTTGGCAGTCAGATGTAGATGCTGTGCACCATTGCTCTAAGAATATCTTTGTCTTTACTAAAGAGGACGGAAAATATATTCTTAAGCCTTTGGCTTATGAAGAATCTGAATCTGTGCGAGAGAAAAGACGTAAGATAACCTATACACAAGGGAGAGAAAAAGTCGAGCGAGTGACGCAAGAAAGTAAAAAGGGTCACGATGAGGTAAGACTTGAGGCGAGAGAAAACCATGAAAATAGCGTGGAAAAAGAAATAAATGCACGCAATGAGAGAAAATCAGAGTGTGGTGAGGGTGAGGATTTTACTAACCCTTATATCTCGTTTGTTCCTTGTGCAGGTATAGAGGTTGATGATTCGAGGATGAATCCTCTTAAAGAAGGAGGGGATGATGAGAATCATGTAGCCTTCCATGGAGGTTCTCCTAGTGAGGGGAATGAGTTAGTCCTTCATTCTAGATTTGGAATGCCAATTTTACTTTGCAGGCCAATCAAGGAAGAAAGGATGGATCTTGACTACCTATGTGATAGGGAGTTGGTTCAAGAGAGCTATGATCAAGGTGATGAGAATGTCATTAACTTTGGGGTGCAAACCAAAGGAGATGAAGACCTCATGGAAATAAGTGCTGAAAAGTATCAAGAGAGTTTGACTCTGTGTGCTCCATGAAGATCAATGATCAAGCTAGTGAGAAGAGTCATTTAGGTTCATGAGTGGACGGCCTATTTGATCAAAGTGTTCAAGATTGAGTCCATTGCTACACAATTGGATAGGTTGCAAACTATCGTAATTGTTTCAAGTGTTTTTCCAATCTTTTGGAGTCAATAAAGAGAATTCTACAAATTTTGGAGTAAATTGGAGGTTTCTACAACTTGAGGGGCGCAAGACCAATATTCCACTTTTGGAAGGGCGTTCAAGACATTTTACTTCAATAATTTGGAGCTGAATTTCGAGATTAGAGTCATTGTCTAAATCTATGAGTTATTTTCGAATTTTATCTAGTTAAATAAGTCATGTGGACTGAATTAAGCTAGAGTGTTTTGATTAGGAGTCTTAGATTCCTTCTAGATATTATCCTACTTGAGGATAAGTGATTTAGATAAGGTTTCCTAGATTTTAGATAGAGTCAAAGAGATCAAGTACTCTTCTACTTTTACTCCTTTTGAGATAAGATTAGAGAGTCCTAATTGGTCTTCTTTTTAGTGGTGCTGGCCGAAAAATACAAGCCTATATATAAGAGGCTTGGCCGAGTTTTAGAAGCACCCTTGAGTGGTCATTTTTGTTGTCTCTTTTGAGAGTTTTTCCTGTGAGGAATTTTTGTTAAATGGAGTGTCCATTTTTCGTGTCAAGTATGATTAAACCAAGAGGGTTTTCATCTTGTCTTGGATCTTTTTGATCCTGCAGAAACCATTCTTTTCAAGTATGCTTCTTGATCGAATTGTTTTAAAACTAAACTTCTTATTTTCATACTACTTCTAGTAGTTCGATTGATGAGCCTTTCCTTTGGCTTGGTGTTCGAATTTCATGATGAGTGTGTTCATGAGATCCATTGCGGGGTTTGTCCTACTTTTTGTTGGATGAGTTGTGCTTTGGCATAAGCATTTTGAGATAGTGTATGTGTTGCATATCTTTGGTTGGTTATGAAGATTACTAATTAATAGTATTCCTTCATAGTTGGGCATTGTTTGCTCCTACCTTTCTTAAGTCTCTTGATTAATGACTGATCGAGTATATTGAATGGTGTCCTTGCTATTCTTAGTGTGGGTTGTTGTTTAATTCGAATCTTTCATGGATAATGTGTTCTTTGCTTGGTTTGAGTTAAGAGATAGAATCACTTAGATAAACGATCGTCTTACTGTGAATTTTCCACACTCTTTTGAGTTTCACGGGATAGACAAAATTATCTTCGTACTTTCTTGTTGATGGTTGCATTAACGAAATTTGCTTCGTCTACGAGATTGCTATCACCAGGTGCCATGGGTAAGCTCGATTCGGCCCAGAGGCTTGATTGCCCATACCGAAGAGGCTAGCTCTATCTCTCAATTACCTATCCTGTGCTCGAGAAGGTCCCTCAGTTCCTCGGCAGCACCTCGAGGTGCATTTAATTGTCTTACATGGGACTCGGGATATTTCCTCCTCCATGGCATGACACCTTTCGCTCATTCATTGCGCCCTTTCTCATTATCATCTACCGCCCTTTCTTTCCTCCCGGCTATTTACGCATGAAGATCGTCCTATGTATCCTCGACTTCGGTTGCCGGTGCTATAGGTAGGAGTCAATTATGGCAGGATCAGTCACCCGGGCAAACAACCCTCCTCCAAGAAGAATTGTGCTATGCCCCCCAGATCCCTATAGTGCGAAAGAGCTGCCTGGTGATCCCTAGGTTGCAGCACGTCCAGCCGTTAATTCCTCGCGACGCTGCTGCCATTTCTAGGACCGACCGACGCCTCACCTGCACAGGTACCGACATAGTCTAATGTCGGTCGCACATTCAACATAGCGTTCGGACTCATGTGCCTTCCATAACTAGGGGTCTTCGAGCCTGCTGCGTACGATTAGCCAGCCTTGCGGCAGCAAAAGGATTAGACGTCCCCCCATGCTATGGTTCCCTGCGGTCCAAACCCGGTGCCGTATTAGGTTAGGGAACTGGACGATAATAGCTCCTCCCCATCCCAAACCGCGCTGCCCTCCTAGGCGCGGAACACTAAGTAATCCAAGCCAACCCACATTACTGACTAACGGTGGATAATCATATTTCTTAGATGTACTAAAAACAACTCCATGAATGAGTAAAATGAAGGTTGCATTAATGATAAAGATCTCTGGGGAAACCGCTAAAAAAGGATTGAACATGTGGGAGGATCCGAACAAATTCTGCTTTCATTTCCCCCATATGGAGCACTGTGTTACTTACACTACGGCCTTTAGCAGGCCCTCTAATATTCTAGTGCAATATCTTTGGATAGCAACGGATTGTCACCTTCTACGTCTTGTAAGGAATTCCCATACCTCTATTTGTTGCTCGTGTAACTGGCGGGCTTCATTGCTCCTTCGTTCGAGTTCTTGCAAAATCGCAAGTTGGTTTTCCCAATATTGAAGGCGCCCCTTATAAGCGCGAAGACTGAGTACGGTGTTCCTCAACTCCGCTCTTAATTCCTCCCTGGATAACCTAGGTTGCTGCTCCGGCCTAGGCTCAGGCTCCGGATCCGGAGGCAGGTTCAGATCGATTTCGATCGGGTTGGGCTGACCCAATCTAAGATCCAAATCTGGATCGCTCCGATCATCCATCCAACACACTAGGCCCAGAAGCCTAGGGAAGGAATCATGGAAAATGATACAATATATGTCAGTTGTTATTTTACTAAAAACACTGAATAAAAAAAAGAAAAGAAGGCACTTTCTTCCTATTTGAAAAAGTTTTAAAACCTTCTTTCTTGAAAGCAGGAAACAGCATATTTCTATTTCCATAGGAAACCACAACAAGATCGCAATATAGAAAGTAAAGAGGAAAAGGCATGACCAGAAAAATTGTGTGAAATAGGTGAATTTATCCAATTGAGGCATGATTGATTCATCTAAAATGATTATTCTCCCTCCTTACCTTAAGTCCGTCAAGCCTGTAAGAGTAGTCAATAAAGATAGAAAGCTTTTCTTGGTTGTTGACCAAAGGAAAAGTAAGGTTTGGGTATAGCAGGACTTGAACCCGCGACCATTAGGTTAAAAGCCCAATGCTTTACCAACTGATCTATACACCCCCAAAAGAAAGATAGCTCCTAACTGATTTACAGCATTTCATCCTTCTGCAAGAGTCATGTTCACTTCCAACTCCAACAGGAACTTCCACATCTCTATTTGCATCTTCATCTTCCTCTACGCTTGATAAAAAAGGCTTTTTAATCGCATCTGAAATGACAACAAGAGCATTTCCCTATCAAAGCCCTTTTAGGCACGAAGCGCATTATGTATGAGGATGGCTTTCATCAGCCTGGCACCCAATTTGTTGAAAACAGCTCCTTCGTCTACCGCGCCTATTTGTATTGCTACAATCATGCTTACAAATATGCAACTGACTAAATAAACAGGATATGTGGCCGGGCTTTGCTTACGACCAGAATGCTACCCCGCTCGAACTCCAGAACTAAAGTAATTGCTCATGCTATAACAATACTCTTGTCTACTTTGTCTAAAAGATGCACGAGCCACTCTTTATCTTATATATACGCAATTTTGAAGATAGTCATTTTTAGTATATAAGACAAGTCGAAGAGACAAACTGATACTAGGTATATTTCCAGTGGTTTTTAGGGAATGAGCATGTGAAAGCCTCGGAACTCTAAATAAAATAAAGAGCACATTAAGTAGAGGAGTCAACGGCATGCATACGCAGGAAAGGCGGTCTTTCGTTTCATTGGTCTGGTCTTTCGCTTGTAGGTACATCGGCTTGTTGGTGCTTGGAGAGCCTGTTAATAATTTAGGTCCGGTAGATACCCATACAACAGCTTCTATTCATAGATCCACGCCCTGCCGACTAGTAGATGTATACCATGCGATATTGACTAAATAAAGTAAATGTAAAGCCAAACCTTAGAGTTCGCAGCCGGTACAGCGCCTATTTAAGTAGGACCGATTACCTGTGTATGTGTTGAGTTTTGAGTAGTCGATGAGAGTAGTCAGGCTTGCTTGAGCTGATATGATTACAGTAGCAGCTACTTCTTAAAAGAGGAGAAAGAATTGAAGATTTTTGTTAAAACAAGTGAGTTATAAATTGGGTGCCGGTCTAGGCCGGTTCTATCAACTGAGCAAGCTAGTGAAAAAGCAGGAGTCTTTTAAGCATTTCAAGTAGTAGCATCTGATGCTTGCCGAGTTCACCAAAAAAAAGATAAATATTACTAGCTTGGATTAAGAGTTTTGTAGATAATGGAAGCTAGGTCGATCCCACGAGGACAGCTAATTACCAAATTTGTTGTAAAGAAAAACTGTCAGTCAACAAGGTGTCACTCAGGAGAATGGAAACAGTCACTCAGGGGAATGGAGGCCAGGGGTGTTCTTCTCCTCGTCCTGCTGTTGTAGTTGTTTTATTAGCACAGTAAAGGTTGAGTTCTTGTTCATTCAGCTCACTTATAACTCTAAGTCAGTTCCCATTTTTCCTAGAGTCATCTTTGCACCCTTAACAACCTATTTTCCAATGATTGATTCCAGCTACAAAGTCATTAAGTTCTTAGGCCTTCAAGAATGCTTATGTTAACTAAGTATATTCCTATCTTAGTTAAAACCATAGACTGTTACCTCTATGTCATAAGTTAAAGTTGAAACAATCCAAACCAAGTTTATCCTTCCAGATCTCCCTTAGTTCTAGCATGCATTCAATTTAGTGATCAAGTAAATGAATGTAGAAAAACTTTCAACCATAAAACAAGGAACAAAACCAGTGCTTGACAACTACAACATCAGTTGAGGAGAATAACCCCTGGGAACTGTTTAGCTACTCATACAGATTAATGCTACATCTACTACATCGAAAGACATCATAGAAGTATGCATAGTAAACAAAATTCAAGCTAACAGTCAAGAGATGAGGAGAAAGCTTGTGCAGTTTCTGAGTCACTCCTGGGAGTGAAGGGGTTCACTCGTGGAACTGAAGAAGAAACTGGGTTGCTATTCTTCAACT